ATCCATCCATGATAAAATTATTTTCTCATGAGTAGCATAGACAAACCCTATTTTCTTTTAAAAAGTTATTAATTTATGAAATGAGCGCTTTAACTAAAAAATAAAACAATTATAAAAAATGTGTTAAACAATACATTAGACTGATGTATTACTATATTTACTATTAAAAAATTATCATTTATTAATGAATTAATTGTTGAATCATCTTTTATTATTGAGTTTTTATTTACAAACAAAAAATTTAGTATATCCACATAAAATTTGTATTATCAATATGGCATATTATACTAATACATAATTTTATTAATGCAAAACATTAATATATACTATCAATTTACAAACGTTATTGTCACTAGTACAAAATACACTTTTTATAATAGAATTTTACATCAATTTTTTTGAAATGAACCAGAAAAAGATGTGATAATATTTTTAAACTTTTTACAAATTTTTCTATATCGGTTGTCAAAAGAACCGATGTGAAAAATACTTCCTACATCGATTATTTTTATAATCGATGTAAAAAAAATGCAGTGACATTTTTTAAATTTATGCAAACTTTTTTACATCAGTTATTTTTACAATTAATGTAAAATGTATATTATACATCAATTTTTTCTGGAAACCGATATAAAATAATTTCAAATTTCAAATTTTTAGATACACAACAGTGAAATGGCATAAATTAGAGATTCAAATATAGATTTTTCTTAAGTTTTTGAAACTTTTATTTTGTTAACTAGTAGATAACGAACATGCAAAAAGTTTTTAGGTACATCAATTATTTTAATTTCTTTTATTTTATTTGTTTCTTCTTACTTATTAAACGATTTGATGAGCATTGCATCTTTTTTATGTTTCAGATTCAAACAAAAATGAACAATAATAAAACACGATGAATACAATAAACACGACGAACACAACAAACACGATGAACACAATGAACATAAAGAACTTGAAGAACACGACGAGAATACCATAAACACTAATGTTTATATATTTTAATTTAACTTAAGAAAATATATTGATAATATTGACACAAATGTTAAAACTCTCATAGAAGATAAATACTGATGCCATTGAAGAAAATAAACATTATGAACATTTTTTACATCGGTTATTATAAACAACCGATGTAGAAAGTGACACTTTTTATATTAATTTTTAACAATATATATAAAAAATATTAAATTTTTTACATCGCCTATATTTACATCGGATACAAAATTAATGTAAAAAGTCTCTTTTAACCAATGTAAAAAGTTTTTTTTTCTACTAGTGAGTATATTTTATTATTGTTAATATAAACCTTTAAATTATTTATTTTAGACAAAATTTGTACTAAACAAAACTATCTCAACACTTTATAAATTTTTTAAATAAATTTGTATATATATATAGAAAAGAATAATTTCATATTAGTATAAGTCTAAAAATTTTAAGATTCAATTTAAGTGTTTCATTTAATTTACATAGGTTATAAGTTATTATTTTATTGATCATTAGATATAAGATAAATGAACAGTTTCAATCGAATATAAATTTTTTTAGTAATATATATATATATATATATATATATATATATATATATATATAGAGAGAGAGAGAGAGAGAGAGAGAGAGAGAGAGAGAGAGAGAGAGAGAGAGAGAGCCATGCACACTGAAAATTTCTTTTGTTATCCGTAAAGCCTCTCATCCACACTGAATAGTCAAGAGGATATGGCTTCTGCTCTGGCTAACAGCTCCTGTCCGCAGCATTTTGCTTATATCTCTCTGTCTGTCTTCCTTCTATGGGGTGTTGGATCCTTTTTTTGGTTAAAGAAAAGACCACTGGCTGAGTTTAAATTTTACGATGTCAGCCTTTCTTTCCTTCATTTTCTTTGCTTATATGCGAAGAAACTTTCCCATGCAATCCATTGTTAATTTCTTTTATTTTGTCATCTAAACAAGAGAGAAGTCGTCAGATTGCATTCCTTTTCTTCTCTTATTTTCATTTCGTTCGAACCAAAAATAGGCTTAATATGATACTTAGCAGATAAGAAAGTGTGAATCATTATTAATGGGGAAAAAGAAAAAGAAAAAAGAAAAATAAATAATGTAAAATTAATATATCTCTGACTCATGTTCTTTTAAAGTAAAATCATGTAATATTTGATGATATAAATTATTAGTTGATTCATATAAATCAGTATTTATACACCTTTTCCGCTAAAACAGATTATATGTATTATATTTAGTGTGATAAAATAAATTTTAAAATAAGATTGAATTTAATATGATAAAATATAAAATTACATCCTAACTTATTGAGCTAATAGATGATTATTTATCATATCAAATACTGTACAATTTTCACGGACAGGAGCTGTAATCATTTATTGATACAATTGTTTTTTTAATCAATATATTTTTATAAATTTTTAATTTTAGCCTTTTTAAATTTTTAAATTTGTTTCTAGTCTTTATATTTTTTAATTCCTTAGTTTTTGTCCTTTTTACCGACGTGATTTTACGAAATATCAACACTTTTTAATTAGTCTTGTATAAAAAGAAAGTCTAAAACTAAAAACAAACAAAAATTAAAAGATCTAAAACAAAAAATTTATAAATATACTCATTTACTAAACTTGAAATATAATATATATTTAACTTTTGCATCATCAAATTTGGTATCATGTTTATGTAGAAAATTCTTGAATATTTAGTCCGGGGGCTGCGCGCGTATGGCAAAATTACTCTGCTTTGCTCCACAAGGAAAACGACATTTACTAAACTTTTCTTTTTAGGCAAATCAACCAATAATTATTACACAGTATATACTTTTGAACAGCCAAAAGATGGTTACTAACAGTGTCATAAGAGGCTTTAGGAGACACGCAGCTTTTATGGGTGGTGTTAACTCAGTACAGTCAGTCATTGAATAGTTAAATTTGACAATTGACATCAACGTCGAAGCATAATTTGGTTATATTATTTGATTGATATTACCATCCCATTGTTATCATTAAAATTTACTTTTTATGCTACTAGATATCATTGGCTTTCCCACTTTGTAAACGGATTGTGGTTGATTAAAAAGCAAACGTTTATATTCAGACTCAAATAAAATGAACTTTGTTTCTTGGAGTTATGGGGGGAAAAGGACCAATAACAAGACGAAAGGCGTCCTGTTAAAGCATGTTGGGCTGCTATTCCAAACGGGTGTGTTTATTCCTTTTTTCCCTTTTGTTTCTTTTGCTTCGTGATCTCCAAATGAAGATTGTTCTAACCCACTCTATGCTTTTAGATTTTTTAGACGTTTTCTCCCCTCAGACATTGTTCCCTTAAAATAAATCGAGTACTTGAATGTATGTACTTTCATTTGAAGGTTTCATACTAAAATGTCCCCTCCTTTATAATTTATAATTATCAAAACTGGAGGGTTCAAAAGATCATATGCTCCAAACAATAGCCCAGTATGAGCTATCCTAGTAGTAATTAACAACATAATTTAACTTGTACAAGTTTGATATACAGGAGAATAAATCAGCAGCAAGAAGTGGTGGGTCCAGGCCTCTCTTTGCAGTTGCACATTATCTGTACACCACACACCATGGGGGGTAAAGCCCCCACATGTTAGTACACTCCACCTATGTTGACTATCTTGATGTAGTTAATCTAATTTCACCAAGTCAGATGGCACCTTACTAGTTGAAAAGTTGGTCGACATATAATTGATATTTCTTCACTGGTGTTTGGCTCACAATTTTCCAACATAAATCAAATCTTGCTTTTCTCATAAGCATATCTAGCTTTTCCGTCAAATGGAATGGCACAAATAGAGTGACTTTTGGGTCTTCCCTTCAACATCCTTTAGTATTATTTAAGATAAGATAGTGGCTATTATGTAATGTTCCCAAAACATTGAGCTTTGTTTGTTCCAATTAAAATGCTAATCTGTGTCTAGTTGGAGAGAAAGAAAACATTGAGGACTTTATTTCCAATCTTGGACTCACGATTGTATACGAGTGTATGGTTGGCTTTCATAATTATTTCCACACAGAATAGCATTTGCTGTTGTAGGGCTGCGACATGCTTGTTTGTTTTTCCAGTTTTTATTCTAGCGTCAAGTTCATGTCATGTCATGCCACTACGAATGGAATTGGACTATTCCGTGGAGGAGTAGAGCACTAGTTACTGTTTGGGGCCCAAGATGGATCAACATTGAAGTGGGCTGCAGGCTGTAGCAATGGTGTTGTTTGGTAATTATGGCTGGTTTGAAAAAAATCAAAGGTAATTCTGGTTGGTGAGAAAAAAATATTTATATATTAAATCAAAGAATTTGGTTGATTGGATAGTCAATAAATATGTAAGACAAAGTCAGAAAACATATATGATTGAAATTTTAGCTGTTCCTTTTTAATTACAAGCAAATATATCATGTGAGGAACTGAATTAAAATGACGCTCTTTCCACGCCACACAAGGGAACTATGTGACGGTTAAGTCGTCTTTGCTTTGCCTTTCACAGAATGCTGCCATGGGACGCTGTGAAAAGGGAAGAAAGAAATTGTTCCTGTGCCTCCTGGCTGTCAGTAGAGCAATTAGGCCATTCATCAATGTTTACTGATGCTTGTAATTTGCAATGATTTTCACTCCATCTCCATGCATCAAGATTTTTTTGCAGACAAATGGGGAGGCTACTTTTTTTTTTTTTTAAATGATTTTTAACTTTTGGTTATGGGCCCAAACCCTTGCTTACTGAATTTAATCTCGTTATTCACAAGTCGCTTAATTATTTTTGTTGTATTAAAATTTCAAGTTAATCGTATTTCTCCATTATTGCTTATAGTTGTGACAGCATCAACACATGTTTTCCTCGTCACTATCACAAATACTGTGTTTTTCCCAAAATCCTTAGATTCCTAGTAATAAAAAAAATGTGTTTTTTGCTCCCCTTTATTTAAAGGGTATGCTTGCAGAGCCAAAGCAAATGTACGCTGCAGTTTTGTTTATTTTAAGATATATAACCACACTTGGTAGCACATATTCAAAAACTGACGTGTATCTGAGGATTATCCTACATTTCAATGAAGCCTTCAACATAATATCAAATTCAGTCGTCAGGCCCGGCTAGAAAGAAGACACAACACAATCAACATAAAACAAAGAATTAGGTCCAAAGCCAAGCCATCTAACTGATCCTAAACCAAATAAATTACTGGTAAAGTTTGAGCGACAAAAAGATGTAACCCCCAAACATTGGCGAGTGCCTATCTGTTTTTGTTTATGACAGTACCTCAAGTCTAGAAACCTCAAATGAAACAGGATCCTTCAATGCAGTATTTAGACATGAAGTAGTAGTTTACTAGAATTTCTGTATGACAACTGAATTTGCCAATCCTGCTTGCTCTATAGTTTGAGTTTCATCAGCTAGAACCTTTGGGGGGAAACCCATAATCTGAAGTTGATAATTCTGCCGACCCCCAGGTCTAGATGCATCAATGAAGGCACGGATGTCGCTAATGGTGTGGTGATAATTAAAATGTGATATCAAGCGTGTTCCATCAGCTAACCTGAGTTGTATTGAGGTTGATGGCAATGACTGCTCAACTACCAGGCCAGTAGAAGGAGCTGGAGCTGTGTTGGGAGGTGTCGCGGCAGCAGTTAGGTCAGGTGCCATTGAAGTAGAGCTGCTTCCAAGGGTTCTTCCCACTCCCTGAAATGGAACATGCTGCTTTTCGGGTTCCTGCATGTGTGACACAAATTCACTTATAATTTATGCATTGCCCGTGTGAGATGTCAGATAAGTCATTATGCAAAGCAAAAAGACCTGGATTGCATTTCAAAATGCAAAACTTCAAAAGCTCCACAACAAATAAACAATGTCAACTAAATTCATCCTGGTTTTTAGTAAATTGAATGTAGACAAACCAAAGAACTTGAACAGAAAACTCACAGGATAATTCTCATTCCTCCTTATGAGGTTAACATTAACAGATGACCTCCTATCTGCAGGTTCAAGCTCCTTGGGACACTCGGATTTTTTTATGCTCTGCATTCAAAAGTAGCAAATATAACTAAACACACAAAACCCTTTATGTAACTAAGAAAATATTAATAGTGGCCCAAACACATCTACAACATTCTTACATTTACATTTTCTCTTCAAGAGAGAATAAAAGAAACTCATAGAATGCTTACATAACAAAATATGCTGGATTTCAGAGAGATTTGAAATAAAAAAGTGAAGTTATAAGTGAAATTTGTTGAGATATTACATTATTCCCGGAATAATGCCAACCAAAAACTCAATCCTCTAATGCTCAGGGTTTGTCTTTTCAGGTAGGAAATCTCATTACTTCCAAATTACTTTACCCTCCAATCCATTTACGAAATCAGAATCTTAATATCATTACCTCTAAAAATGAGGCATTTTCAGGATCGTCCAATCTCCTCAAAGGTCCATCATTTACAGTGAAACCATTGCTCCAGAAAACAATGTTGTGAACAACAGCTTCAGGTTGCTGAGAAGTAGATTGTACAGTTTCCCCAGAAAGTAACCTACCAGTTCCAGTAAAGCTAGTTGACCTTGGAGGTTCCTGAAGTTGATCAAGAGGCCTTTCAACAGCTCCAAGTTGCCTAGCTTGATTGAAAATTGCATCCACATCATTTCCTTTTGAAGGATCCTGGACAAGCATTCCACTGGAAATATAATGTAAAATTGTTAAATATTCAACAGAAAAGAACCAAATCATAAAACCAACTGAAACTGGACACTGTTTATCGATAAATCTTGCACAAAATTAGTGACATCAGTAAACTGTATGCGCACATTAAACTTTAGAAAGCATGATTGCAGATGCAATAACCTTATTTAATAAACGTTGGTAATATACCTTTTTAAGCCAATTTTTTATATCCAAAATCAAACAGTTTCAATCAAGGTAGTCAAAAGTGACTTTCCATTATAAGGTGATTGATGTCTAGAAAAATAAAGCATACAAGTGAAGCATAAGACTATGTTGGGAGTTTTGAAGGGTCAGCAGTTTGGAATTGGATGAAGTGGAAAGTTACCACACTGTTGTTTAAATTTTTAACAAGGGAATGGCAGGTAGCCCCTTACCTCTGTTAAGAAGTAACGATGGTAATTGAGTGGAGTAGATTACAAATTTATCTTCTAGTATTACCCTTTTAATAACATAGTCATAGAAAAAGGTTACAGTCTCAGGGTAAATTTGGAAAAAAGCTATCTTAAAATATAAAAGAAGTGTTCCATTCCAAGCCCCTAAATTGGAGGGTATTGATATGGAAATTTTAAGAGTTTGAGTGGTAAGGACTAGTTTGGGTTTCCACCCATAACTACTTCACCTCTTTACCTTTAAAACTCTCCAACAATGGGTTGAGTTTCTTTTTTCATTCTGTTCCATCTATCCAAATATGACTTAAAAGAGAATATTTTACATACTATATAAAAATATCTTTAAAAATATAGATATATAGCTATCCATATCTATATGTTGAAAGCTCTAAGATATATATAGTCAAAGTTAAAATTTTGAAAACTTAAAACATCTTAATCATCAAGTGAACAATGCTTAAAATCATGAGGTAAAGCTGCACACAAATCATTATAGACTTCAAAAGACTCAAAATACAGAAGCATTGCCCTTAAACCCTTGAAGGGTAAAGAGAATGCCTATTTGAACACACAATAAATCAAGAATTGATAAAAACACACTGCTTCGAGTTTTTTTTTTTTGGTCCCATTCTTCAACAAATTGAGTTAGATCCATCTGAATGAATATCCAAAACCCTATCACCTATACCAAAAAAAGTAACCCAAATTCAAGAAAAATATCTTCGAAGTAATAGTTTAAAAACACTCATCAAAAGCACTATTAATCGCTTTAAATGCCTTAAGATAAGTTTCCAAATGCTTCATTCCACCCGAAAATGAGTTTGAGAAAAATCTGAAAGCACTATGTACGAGTAAACGCGCAAAAGAATAACCTGAAATCTAATCACTAAGTTATATTTGAGATAGATTTTTCTGTATGAGTTGCTAAAAGGCAGAGTTAACATTAACATTTGAATGATATTGATATAATATAACATTTATTTAATTTTCAATTTTGGTGTCATCCCTAAGGGAGGACAGAGAGAAAGAGAGAGAGGGAACCTCTTCTCACCGCCGGTGTAATATTCCTGAGGACCATCGGAGTCGCTGTCGGAATCGGCGGATGGACGATTCAGATCGGAGAGCGTGCGGATTCTGCCTGCTCGGCTGCTCGACGCCATATCGATGAGTAGTTGCAGAGAGAGAGAGAGACTGAGAGAGAGTACACTATCTCTTCTCGCTCAAGGAATCTCTTACACATTTACGCGCATCGCAGGCGCGTATAAAGTAAACCATGTCACCCCTAATGCTTTGGGTCGTTCCCAAACGTGGGTTAATGCAACTCAAATATGTTTTTGTCATTGAGATTTTAATTTTAGCTTTCTAAATCTAATTTTTTGGATTTAATTTTTGATTAAATTAAAAAATTTATATATTATTCTTTGTATTATGTGTTAATCTTTTAGACCATTTATTATTAAAGATAAAAATGTTAAATTTAAAAAATTATAATTTTATAATTATAAACATTTAAGTTAATATATTTTTATATATAATTTATGAGTTATAATTTTTAAATAAGAATATTATGAATAAATATCTTATATAAGGATATTTTTCAAAATTAATTTTTATTACATTTTTTAATTTGATCTTAATTTAAAAGTATATTTTAATTTTTTATAATTTATTATTTAATTTTAAAAATTTATCTTTATAATTATATTTAATATAATAAAATATTTATTGAAATTTTATTATGATTTAAAATATCTATGCATTATAAGAAAATATTAATAATCACTATATGTCGTTGTCTTATAATAAAATACTTTTATATAATGATAAAATTTGTCAGAATAATGATGATAGATGAGAAATTAAAAAAAAATTATTAAAATATAATGTAATATTGTTATTTTTTTTCATGCTTTAATAAAAAAATATTTATTAATTTTAGAATAATAATGAACAGAATCATTTTTCATTAATTTAAAGTGTTTTTCTTACAACTTACAATAGAAAAGTATTTTAAAAATCTATGAAATAATTGTTAGCAAAATAATTTATTTTTAATAAGTTTTCTTTTGTAATTAGAGTATATTTATAAGTTAATAAGTGTCTGTGTATGTAACTGAATATGAAATTTAAATGTTGAAATTAAAATTGAGCTTCAGAATTTTAATTATTATATTCAGATGTACATTTATAATTAGAATTATAATTTTGCAGACTAATTTCATAAAATTCTATAACAACTAGATTTGCCTCACTTTAATTCATAATCTATACTCTAAGAATTTAAATTTTTAATATTATAATTCACAAATATACTCTCATATATTGTGCTTATGTGATTCCTCATATTTGTTGTTCTTGTTTTTTTTTATATACTTTAATCTTTGGGTACTTTTTTTTCTCTCTCTTCTTTTATTCTCTCTTTCGTCTTCATCTTCTTATATTCTCTTGTTTTTTTGTACTTTTATTCTTTTAATTTTACTTTTACATTGATTATTAATACTAGTTCTCTTCTTATGTTCTTGTGTTTTTTTTTATTCTCTTCTTCTTCGTTTTACATTAATTATTAATAAAAGTGATTTTTTTTCCCTTCTTCATCCTTTTGTTCTTCCTATTCTTCTTTTTTCTTTCTCTTTTACTACCTTTATTACATGTTATTAATGATTATGTTAGTGTATCATATTGACATTATGCATTTTTTACACTTGTTGCAAATTATATTATTTATGTTAATTGTATAATAAACTGTCTAATATTTTTCTTGAATTGTTAGATGTCGAAAGAAATATTAGAAATTAATTCAAGAATTATTGAAAGTACAAAAAGAAGACAAGAAAACTATTGTTATATGCAATAGAGTGATATACAGTAAAAAGTATACTTTTGAAATGATTATATTATGAGATTGATAAAAATTGCTATAACTAATTGCATCTTACTAAACAAGATTTTTTAAATTTTTTTTTTAGCTTTGCAACATTTTAGGTAAAAAAGAAGGAATACATAATACTTATCATTTAAAAGTAGAAAAATCTGTTGTAATGTTTTTACTTTGTTTTAGCTCATGGTTTCAAAATGAGAATTTTTGGAAACACTTATACTTAATTTATATTTTTAACTTTGAGAATTAAATTATATTTGTAAGCATTCGTATGCTTTCATCTAATTTAGAAAAAAATAGTTCACAATATAATATTAAATTTTAACAATAAATTAAATATAAAAAATAAATTTAATGTGTCATGATTTTTGAAAAAAAAATATTAAGTTATCATTTGTAATAATTTATTTTATATTTGTAATTAATATATTATTTTTTAAAAATTTATTAAATAAAATTTAATACAAAATTGAATTATTTTTAAAATTTTAAATTTTACCTCACATTATAAAATTTAATTTCAACTTAAAATTCTAATTTTTTAAGTATGTAAAACTTAGAATTATAATTTTGAATTAATTCTAATTCTTGTCGAATTAAAATTATAATTATAATTTTAAATGTTAATTTTAATTCTTAATAGATCTGCTATTGAAGGAATAACAAAAAAAAATTATAAAGTAATGTACAATCACACCGAGTTTGGTAGATATGTAAAATACAAGATAAAAAATTGAAAAAACAGAAATTGACAACGACTATATTATTTGATTAAATAACTAGAAAGTAATAAAATAAAAATATTAATGTTATTAACTCATTCTCTTTTAATTTCCTATTAAAAAATTTACTTCTTTCTTTACTTTCTTGTCGTTTATATATATTTTTTCAAACCAAATAAAAGCATTAATGATTTTAGTATGATATTGACATTTCATGATTAAAATCTTTTGCAGTGGAATTATCACAGAGAAGATCTTCACTAATAAAATGTTTTATTTTTATTTAACAAATAATAGGAATTAATACTAAATCTGGTGTAATAAAAAATTCATTATAGAAAATCCAGATCCAATATTTTAAGAATTATATATAATTAATAATTTTTTAAAATAATTTAAATGTTGTGATCGAATTATAGTTAAATTACATGGTATATTATTTGATTTTTAAATACAGTCTACAAAGACAACCTTGTTTTGACCCATTTAGAATAATACTTAACCTTTATTTTATGAATGAACATTTTTTAAAAATTTTATTTCTTAAAATTAATTTTTTTATTTTTTCTTTAATCAAACAAAATAATACATTATTTTTAATATTTATTTTCTTTTCCATACTTTCCTCTTAACTAAATAAAAAGGTGTCAAGGACATAACAACTGTAACAACCAAATTTTATCCTAAAATCACATAACATCATTGAATTGGATAAAATTAACAAATTTTGCATTGCCTGCCAAAAATCTAACACAACCCTCTTAATTTACTTAGACTTAGGACCAACGAGCCATATGTAGATTTATCAATTTTCTTTGCACTCTTTCCACAAACAAGAAAAAATGCAGTGAGGAAACAATTTAATTACTGAAACGAGTAAGCACTAAAGTAGGATAAATTAAAAGAGTTCTGTGAACTCTACTACAACTACCAATGATAAAATTTTATTTTAAAAAGATTATTTATTATACTTTAATAAGTTCAATACAATAAATAAACACTTTTTTAATATAAAATTTTATATTTATGAATGCTTAAATTCAACTCTAACAGCTGAGATTAAGATTAATAAAACCCATTACAAAATGCTCAACAAAATTAAGGTGTCTAAAAGTCATGTTATTTTCCATTTCACTATAAATTTCAAGCTCTCCCTTAAACCCTTTTTCTAAATTATTAAACCATAAATTAATAGTAGGATTATAAATATAAAAAACTATAAATTTATATATATAAACCATACAAACACGCTTTGTGTATTGTTAAATAAGGTCTTAATCACTTATAATCCTGCGGCGGGAAGAACTTCGGAGATTCTTGTTTGCGGCACTAAGCAGCGCCTCGCGTCGACTCGTAGCGCACTCTATATATTCTTGCAAAGGTGGAAGGTTCGCTTGTTCGCCATCTTTAGCCACTTGTCCTCGAATAATCTGTTCACCCATGAATATATATATATATATATATATGCTTTTAAATATATCACAAACGGATAAAATTTATATTTTAAATAAAATATATAAATTAATATTTTAACATAAATATTTTAATAATATATTTATCATCATAAATAATATATAATTTTTAATTTAAAATTAAAAAAAAATATTTTTCCTTTTAAAAATTTTCTCTCAAATAATGTCCTAACAAGACTCCAAACTGAAAAAAAAAAAAAAAATTACCTTCGACGCCCAAGATCGTTCTGCTTGCAGACAAAGGTCTCTAATATCTCTTCCAGACATACTGAAACAATGAGAACCGATGAATAGGAAAGAAATGTCAAAAAAATAGTGCAAAACAATTTAGACATGACTGAGCACGTTGATGTTAGGAAAAAGGCTCATGTCTGGTTACTTAATTTCAGAATGTGTCATGTTGGTGGAAGTCAAACTAAGGTGGTGAAAACATCTGTATACTTCACTTATCTTCTACCTTCTTACTTTCACTACCCACCAACCTGTAAGCGATAAACTTCGGTGCGGAACTCAAAGCCAAACTTACTCGTTTGTAACTCTTGCCAGTTCATCTAGTTCGGGTGTGGACAGGTGCTTTGCATATTTGGATGCTATTTCCTGACGATTATGATGATCGGGCAAGCCAAAAGGGATCATAGTATCAAACCGACTACAAACAGAACGAGAAACGGCCTTAGGATGAAATTCCTGCAAGATTGACTGTGTAAACTTAGCGAACTATAAAGCTTTGAATTTCAAGCTCACCTGATTAATGCGGGATCAAGGTCTTCCTTTCTATTTGTGGCAGCAATGACAACAACTTTCTTATCCTGCTCAAAGCCATCTATCTGCAAAATTTGCTCCATCCGTCAGTCAAATTGCATAAAAAACTTTAACTTTCAGCAATGATACAGTTTGGATGAGTTATTAAGCTGTATACTGTCTTGGGAAAATAGGTCCAGTGCTTACTTGAATCCAGTATAAAATATCAATATCACCACAAACTAATACAAACAACAATCAAAATTTGCCCCACCATGGAATAGGTTGCGTCTAAAACAATCAACAGTAACGAGCTCTAGTGAAGATCAAATCATTTCATAAACTAAAATAAACTAGTGAATTATCTTGAGAAGTGCTTAGATGCTAAATAAAAACTTACAATCTGAACATAAACCTTCATAATGAGACTTTTAAAACTCCAGCAAACAACCAATTTCTATAGCATATATCTGATATAAGGTATATAACATGCTATTCCATGTATCATAAAGCAGTAAGCGACAAGACTAACCTGTCGCAATAATACTGACAATATTCTGCGTGTAGCTTCATGCATTTCAATATCACGAGCAGCAGCAAAAGAATCAATCTTTATCGCAACAAGAACACAATCAATATGTAAATTGTAAGGAAATTTCATGGAAAATAAAACTTAATCAACATTTCATGTTTCATTACCTCATCCAGAAATATAATAGCACCGTTAGGAAGATTGTTTGCAAGTGAAAACACTTGCCCTAAAAGGCGTTCACTTTTACCATATAATTCGGACATTATTGCCTCAAGTGGCACATATAGCAAAGGGACACCCTGCCAAGCCAAGTATGCTGATTTCAGTTCACTGCATACTCAAGGACAACCAACAAAATTCTACGTGATTTATACCATAGACACGAGTCCTGTGAATAATGTTTCAAGAATAGTTTCAATGTATAGTTTTTTTCCTTGGCTGAGCACAGGACAGGATATTCAGAAATTAGTGCAAGAATAAAGCTAAGGGGTACAACTGTAAAACAGTTAAAAGCAGCATACCGCTTGATTGGCAACAACACGAGCACATGAAGTTTTCCCTGTACCTGAAACCATAAAAATGTCACAATGTGAATAAGGAAAACTAAATGTACAATTATCTAGTAATTTTCATCTCACTAAATTGAAATTTCAACTTCATAGAGAAACAGTTAAACAAATGCAGTTTCTTATAAATAGCGGTAGTTTAAACTTTAGAGATCACAGGTACATTTCGATATGTGAAAAGTTCACATAAATAAAATAACTTCATGTTGTATTTATGTCCAATTCATGTACGAAGACATATAAAAACTAAGATGAAGCTTTTCATAAAAAAATTATAATTTCCATAGTGTACCCAAATTTATCATGATCAAAGAAGCCTGATCATTATTTAAACTGATAATTCAAGAGAGATTATTATGAAAGTTTAGGTTTTATTTTTTAATAGAATGAAATTGATAAGAAAAAAAATATTAGAAAATCTATTATTCCAAACAAAAATGCCTAAATGCTTCACATTACTCAATTATTTGAAAATATAGAGGAAAAAAAAAAAGGCTAAAATGATACACCTGGTGGACCTTCAAACAGCACAGCTCGAGGTCTGTTTGATTCAAACTTTTGACGAGTCCCTCGAGCAATATCATCATATACTTCAGGACTATGCAGAGCCAACAGTATGGTATCTTCTATTACTCTACAAAATACAAAATTAAAGATAAAGTAAATCTAAGTACTTATCATGCATGATGATAAATGAAATTTATAGCTTGAGCACACATCTCTACAGATGCCATAAGGTGTTTTTTATAAGTAAACACAATACGAAAACAAAAAGCAAAAGCAAAAAAAAAAAATAGTTACAGCTCTCTAATGAGATATAGAGATCAGACTAAGCATATATAGATAACCAAATTAGTTGAGAAATTATTGATGAATCTCCTATTTCCTTCAAACACTGGAATCTGATCATTATAATTTGCACAGACTAGGCACTTACTGTGCCTCACTTGACAGAAAAATAAGATGTGACCTAACACATAATGAACGACAAGGGTCATATCAAGCTATATAATTTCTTGAAGAGATTTGAAAATAGATGAATTGTATGTCTATTTTAGTCTGCCCCACTAGCAACTTAGTTATCAAAACCATAAAATTGAAAACCTTCATCAGAAACAGTCACTTTCCAAATAAGATAGAACACATGTCTAATCAGAAAAGGGAAGCTGAATTTCCAGATTTACATACCTTTTTTGATGGTCGTACCCAGCAATGTTGTCCCATGATATCTTACCATTCGATATACCCATGGGTTCATCAAGTCCATAAATTCTCACTCCCATACCCTTGAGATCGGAAATAGATTTATCTACAGATGGCACCTTTTGGGTCTCTTCCCTAGGTCTTCTTTCCAGAGGGTTTCTTAGTCCCAACTTGTTACCAGCTAATTGTAAAACAGAGATGAAAGCATCAAGCTCTTCAGGACTCAAGCTACCTTGCTTAATGAATTCAATTTCCTGAAATATTGTCCAAATATAATAATTTTCTGCCAAGTGATGGCCATTTTTTTCAATGCACAAAAGCCCAATAATGTGGAAAATGAAAACAAATTAAGAAAAAGGAAAAAATCAAAGACTTACAGCTTTATCTGACCCAATGAGAGAATGAAATATAAGTACACATAGATCTCTATCATCTGCATATATATCTGTTGAAGATGGGTGATTCTCTTGAATATGTTTTTGTTTTGATGGATGAGTAAGGGTGAGTTGCCAAGCCACTGTGCTGTGAGCAGGTTACAAGAAACATTAAGGATTTAAACCAAATTGAGTTTATTACTACTGTAAAGGAAAAAACTCAATATGTACATGAACACTACATTTCCTAAATCACAGACATTGAGAATGAAATACCTGTCCCAAGCTCGCAATAACATATCTGAACCACCACCATGGCCTTCATCTTTCAGTCCAAGATGTGCAGTGAGATTTGCAATAAGTTGTGGGATTTCACAACCAGGAGGAATTTGAAACTTTATACTGACCTACAATTGTTAACTCCACCATCATAAATAGTTTGACTTCTAATACAATAAAAAAACACCCCATCATCAAAACAAGCACACAGCAATTGACAATTATGTCTTTCTAAAAAAAAAGAAAAGGATAAAAATATAGTCGAGAATGCACCCATGTCAATATTATGAAGAAAAAAAGAGATTGAAGTTGAAACATGTCACATGTGATACCACTTGAAGTTAAAAGCAATATATAAAGGAAATAATTTTGTTGATCCATGTCATAGAGATTCGACTAAGTTTTCTGCTGACTATCAACTGCCTAACATAACTCTCGCCTTTTATCCAGGCTTGGGACTGGCTATGTAAAGTTTAACAACAAAGCACAATATAGGCAGGTTTATGAGAAAAAATTATGGTGCTGTTGATCCATGCAAAAAGCCTCACCAGTGAAAAAAAGGATTGGTGGTAATTGTTTTATATGAAAAATATAACATTAGTGGAGATCAAAATAGCATTAAAATATAGTCTTGAAAAGGGACATGTTGTCTTGCATTTAGATTTGACCTGCTAAAGCACCAAAGAAATGTGATGGGCTTAATGCTTAACAGAATCAAGGACCATTTGCACAGATATAAGTAATTCTAAAAAAGCAGTATTGGAACTCCTAAAAAGAGGCAAAATGCATCCACTTATTTATTTCTACATTGAAGAAAAAGCACGCATGTTCTTTTTATGCTAAGCCTCCTCCTCTGGATTACAGGACTAGCTTCCCAAACATAAACCATAAAGCAACCATCGCGAACCAACTAGTTATTTTATTTCCCACATAATCACACTCCCAAATTTAGGCAAATCAAGGAATAACCTTTTGGCCTTTAACGGAAACAGTGAAGCGAGGATAAGAACCAATTCGAATTCCTCTGCTTTTGATCAAGTCCTCAATTCGCTCGCGTTCTTTCTTAGCAGTTTCTTGAACATCCTCCCCAGCATTATCCGCATACGCCGTTTCCACCAATCCAACTCCAAAAACACCACCTAGCACAGCAGGAAGCAACCAAAAATCCTCGCGCAAAATTCTGGAACTCGAAACATCAGACACGGAGGAGGTAGACCAAGCAGATACGATTTCTACACAAAATGAACCACAAATCATCCGTAACTGAAATTCACGAATTCAACGTAAAAGAAAGAAAGCAATCGACGATGGAATTGAAAGTTGAAACCTAAGTGGAGCATTGTAATAACAAATTCCAAGTAAAGAGGAACGTACTGGGATATGAAGAAGTGGGAATGCGGCGCGAGGAGTGAGAAGTTAGGGTTCGGAAAGAGGGAAATGAAGGGCAATGGCGACGCCATGCCCGAGCTGACCTGGCAAAACGTTCCATTGGAGAGTGCAGAGCCGAAAACGAAATCCACGCTGATACGACAGCGTATTGATTCCGCACTCGGTGAAGATTCACAGTGTCACTCCCCAGAACTCTGCTGTGTCCGAGCTTCCCGCTTGTTTATATTAAGAAGAGACGAGAAGAGAACGGTGTTTCGTGTATCTTAGGCAACAGTTAAGTCGCCAGGACTCAGCGAACCCTTGTAATGCAACCTAACTGAGCCCGGTCTTCGCGTATAAATTAACGGTTCTTTTAACGACACGCTTAAACATCAATATATATTTGATATAATAAGTGTTTTTAATTTTAGCATAAATTTTTATATTAAAAATTTTGATAAATTAAAATAACATTTCAAAAATTTATGACATGTCTATTAAAATAAATTTTATTTTTTAAATAAGAATTTAGTTTAGTAGTTTTAAATAAAATTTTAAAAATAAGTTTTTATTATTAAAATCAAATTTATAATTAAATTATATATAATATATATATAATAAAATTTATAATTAATTATTAAATTAAATTATATACCCTCGTAATGGTTCCAATCAAATTTCTTGTAACAAAGTAAAAAGGCCATCAACAAATCCTTTGCTACAACAAAAGAACTTATTGAGAGTAAGAAAACAGTTCATCCTCCTCTAGTTATTCTTTCACTTCAATCTATTTCGTGGCTCGATTTTAAAATATAAAAAATGAAAACATGAACATAGATGTTTTTAACTCTATTAATTTATATTATTTTAGAAAAGTTATAGCTTGTTTGTTTCGTATTCTCAAAAAAAGTTTCTTTTAAATAAAAAAAATATCCTTTGACAATGTCGTTTGCAAAATGTTTTTTTTTTCTAAATTTTAAAATCAAAATTTCAAAATAACTAAAAAAATGTTTTGAAACTCAAATTTTTAGCACATTCTTTTTAATGTTTTTAATCATTGATTAATAATTATTAAAAAATGTATGTTTTTAATATTAAAATAGTATGCAAGTTCAAATCGATATTAGGAAAGAATATATACTATAAGTGTGATGTATTTATCTAAAATGTTATAGGCTATTTAGATATATGCTTATATATTATTTAATTCATTACTTATATACTAACCCAATTCTTTATTATTTAAACCCTTAATTTAATCATTCTTACTCATACTTTTATAATTTTTCTCTCTTGGTCTCATATTAGTTATCGTTTGAGCACTTTTTATTTATTTTAAATTTTTTTTTACTTTAGAATATTAATAAATCATTTACTACCTTTTTTAATAATATCCATATTTATCAAGGATAAATTTTGCCAATTAACATTAAAATAAATTTATAATTTATTACTTAACCACTGCGATATCTTCAACACTTTTAAATAAGGGACATTGTAGTAAAATTATTCTTTTATTATAATAATTAGTAAAGTGATCATTTTTTCTTAAAAAAATATGCATTAGTATTAAGTAACAACTTATATGAGGAAAAAAATGTAACAAAAGCTAGTTTATAATAAAATGTTTGTTATTAGCACTTTTCAAATACACATTTGCCTTTTTCTATATTCATTTTTATCCCTGCTCCTTTCTTTTCATACATTTAAGAAACACACCTTAAACATAAATAAAAGACCTAAAATTATAGTAAGTTTATTAATGATTAGGCCCAAAGTGATGAAATGTCTTCTGGGCCTGGACTTGTATGGTCCATGCAGATAACATGAAAAATTGCATATTTCTTTGATCCCTTCCGAGTTATCCTATCCACTGATAAGTAAACAAAATCACGAAATAACATATTTTTCAAAAGAAAAAAAGTAACACTTGAATCTACAGGCTCATATTGAAAAACCTTAGATTTAAACAAAGATATTGACTGAAAAAGTGAAGAAAGAAATAGTGAAAAATGGGACCTTACACGTTGTTTTATATTTATGGGTCACATGATGAGTGCCTAAAAGTGCTGCTACATCTTGAAATGAAAATGTTACTTTTTCGCACTTCGAGTCATTTCATTTACCCGAGAGTCATAGGGGGCATCTACTTGCAAAGCTAGGTAGCAGAGATTTAAAGCTTTGAATCTGCGTTTGCAAAGGTAGCAGAGATTTAAAGCTTTGAATCTGGATGACGGCATAGTCTACTACTCTGCCTCCTTCTTCCTGACACATAAATAAGTTTATACTTCCAAGACTCTAAAAAATACTTATAATCTAAAAATGTAAGTGTTTGAAGCTCTTATATGCAATTCATTAATACTAACAGAAAAAGTATTGTTTCTCTTTTTGTCTCATATTAGTTATTATTATTATTTATTTTAGAATATAAAAAGTATTTATTATTTTTAATAATATTCTTATTTGTTAAAGATGGTTTTTGTTAATTAACGATTGAAATAACTTAATATTAATCATTATTTAAATTAACTTTTTACTGTAATAATTAATTAAATTATTATTTTTAAAATATTTATATTAATATAAATAGATATTATAGACCAAAATTAGTATCTTACAAGAGAGTGATAAAATAAAATAAAATAAAATAAAAATTAAACACAAAAATTTAAAACATAAACGTTTATAATAATTTTTACATTAACCAAACAAGAGTTTTCAATTTTTTTTTTCTTGGACGATCAAAAGTTGTGATTCTTCTTTCAAAACGTTGAAAAAACTGCACATAGGTTTTGTCAAAAAGTTGTTTTTCGACACTTGACCTCAATTTTTTTTAATACTCTCCATATTTAAAACTATTTTAAATTTATTTTCATCCAAATTTAAGTATATAATGATTTTTTATTATGTTATAAAAATTTTAATTCAAATTATTTTTTATTTATAATTTTAGACAAAAATTTGGGTCTAATAAATTTATTTGAAGTAATACAAAATTTAATATTTTTCCTAATCATAAACTTAGTTTTAATTTATTCAAAAAAAAAAAAATCTTCAATTTACAAATTGAATTGTAATGATAAGTTTTAAAATGTATTTAGACACACTTATTATAGAATATAAATTAGATTAAATTAAAATAATCTCTTACGAATCGATGCACAAATTTGGTTGTATTTAAAAATAATTTATAATTTAATGTTAGTAATATTCATTTTAACATTGATTAATTTATAATTAATGTGAAAAGAGGAATATTATTTACTTGTGTGGCGAACAAAACTTGTTGCACCAAAATTTTCTTTGTTCAATATTAGAAATCATGTTCTAATGTTTAAAGGTTTTAAGATTAATTTTTACATGTAATTTATGGTTATTGATGATAATATATATATATATATATATATATATATATAAAATAAAATTATCATATTACTGTAAGTTTAAAAAATTTTATATTCAATTTGAGTATTTTATTTAACTTATGTATAATAGTTAATAAAATAATAAAGTATAATATATTAAATATAAGTTAAATAAAAATTTGATGTAAGTTTTTAGACTAATACTTCTTGTAATAAAAATAAAAAATTAATAATGATATAGTTTTCTAATTTAACCTTTACGAAGCCAAGCTTAACCTCAAGACTTTTTCGAAAAACAATATTTACTTAATAGGGCCAAAATTTATACTTTTAGAAATGTCCTTCCAGTTTGAAAATAATAAAATGACGATGATATCAATAAACCCTACTAATGTACTATGGCAATCATTTAAAGGCAAGGAGACTTCTTTCTTAATTTACATTACATAAGTATGTTTCTTACGTCGCAAAATATTTAAAAAATTTGGTTAATTAATTTTTTTTAGTAAACTAGATAAATATATGTACGTGCTAAACAATTCTTCTACATTAAACCGGTGATATTAAATTTATTTATTCACTTTATATAATTTGATTGAAATGTATATTATTTTATGAAATAAAAGATTAAAGTCATTCACGCTTATATTTAAAAAAAAAATAAAAGAAGATTTACTCGTTCAATTTGTATAAAATATGTTTACATGCGTATATTTTAAAGTAAAAACTATAATTTTGAGAATTAAAAATAAAATGATGTGGAAGTGGGTTCAATGGCAGCCCAAAAATGCAAAAATTTATTTGCCCATTAAAAGTAAGTTTTTTAAAGGGACTTCACTTTGACATCCACTTTTAAAAAAATGAGTAAAATAGTACTGCATCACGATCTTGAAATTACAAACCAGATAAAAATAGTTTATAAATTGAGCAACTTTAATTATTAATTTGTAAAGTTTTTATATACGCGCAAGTTTCTATCGCGAGTTTGTTGCACTTTATATAAAGTTCGTAAATAATTTAAACAATAGGGCAATACTTTGTTTTTTGAGATTTTGAATGGAGAATTGAAGCAGACACCTATTTTAAAATATCTTAATTACTATAAAGTAAACTTAAAATTGTTAAGTTAGGATAAATTTTGAAAGTTAGGCAACTAAGAAAGAGCCATTGTATATGTTTGTATTTTACATTCACACAATTTTTTTTCTATTTAATTATAATTAGTTTACTTATTATTCATACTTTTATCCTAATTTTATCACATGCTCTAAGGTTTCATGTGATGAAATTAAAGGACAACACAATCAAAATAACAATACAGGCGGAGTCACGACACTATTTTTTTAATTGTGTCTGCTATTTGCTATCAATGCATAACACACCGACGTCGTTTTGAAGGTTAAACAGTGAGTCAGAGAAGTTACAAGCCAGATTAAGTTTGACCATTGTTTTTTTCTTTTTTTTTTGCTAATTTTCACAATTGTTCTTTGTTAGCATTAATAAGGTTTGATCAAATTGGTAGTTATTATTTCTTAGTTTATTGAGGTAACATTTGAACTGATCTTCTTCTTTTTTTTCACTTTTTTCAGAAGGATAAATTGAATCGTATAAATTTAGAATAACTATTAATTTATTTTTATGTGTAATTTGCCAGTACAATTTATAAATGTGAGCAGTTTAATTTTTTTCAAATTAAAATACTTGTAGTAGTTGATTATTTTATCGCATGTCAAATGAATTTTTTTATTAAATATTTATTATTAAAATTGATATTACTTTAAATTTTAAAATTATTTATTTAACATTATCTGTTTAATTTTTATCTAATACAATACAATAATAACTATAATATTTATTTTTAAAATTTTATTAAATTTTAAAATATTTATATAATATAGTTTTAATATTTGAAAAATAATTTAATAATATCCATGAAACATAAGAAAAAAAAAAGATTTCTACGAAGGAGAGTAAATAAAAATAAATACTCAAACTCATTGGAGGAGATTTCGCTCTTTGAAACTGGAATTTCCTCCCATTCTTTATTTATTTGCTTCAATAATAGGACATTTCTTACTTCTTACGCTTCAGAACCTTCGAGCAGTGTGTGTTGTTCATGCAACTAGATGAATGTTTTCTATCACTTTCAAAAGTTGAGAGTAAAATTATAACCATTGTATAGCATCTTTGGATCTCGCATTTTATGCGGCTAAGGAAGAAGGGGAGGGCAAACATAGAAAGTAAAATATGTCCTATGATATCATTACAAAGACAAATATGCTACTACCAAAACTCAATAATACATTTTCAATCGCACTTTAAAGATGAGAATGAAATTAGAACCATTAGTATCCTGAGATTTCTCATTTTATGCGGCTATGAAGGAAGGGGAGGCAAACAAATTGAAAAAATGTCCTATTGTACAATTACAACGACACATTCCAACAAAAAGAAATTAAATATTTTGATGTAAATTAAACTCATAATTAACAATATCTTTTGAAATTATTTTATGCATTTCCTTAAACAATTTATTTCTTAAATACAACTTTTTATTTAAAATAAATATTAATCAGTATGTATACAGTCATATTTAACAAATTCTTAACATAAGCTCTAGTAATTTTTTATATTCCTTATCGAGTACCTTATGCATGGCCCTTTATATAATTCAAATAAATTCCATATGCTCTAAACTCGCTTTTGAACAAACATGTACTTTCTCACAATTGATTCTGGATAATTATTTTTGACACAAGAAATTCAAAAGCCTTTCCATAAAATCACCCTATTTGACTATTTGAACACCCAAGTTACCAAGTTTAGTTGCAGCAACAATATTCAAAAGCAATTTAGCGCCTTACAAATCCAAATTATGCCACACCATGCATGACAATTGACAGCAAAGGAAGCTGAAGCAGCTGCTGACACAACTGTAAAGAGCATTCATTTCTTTCAACAATAATAACTACGCCCTTTAGTAAAAAGATCCCTGATGTTCCAAACCCACACAGAACTACATTAAATAATCTTTCCGAACAAACGCACACTTCCTTGCAGTGTAATTAAAGGTTACACGCAGGTAGCTTGAACATTATAAAAGTTTGAAAGACCAACGTGGCACTTTAACATACACCTCTGTATCAAATAATTTGATTATATTTTTTTTCTGTGTTTCTGCCTCATGTTCTATCGTAACATAAAAAGGGCAAAGAAAAAAAATGAAAAACAACTAAAAGACCCTACTTAAATACTATAATAATAAATACATTCTGATAAAGCACTTCAGATTACACGAGGAGGAGCACAAAAGAAAAGATAGCATTAACCAGCTATGACATCAACGAATCTAGTCCTAACTCCTAATCTGTAAGTCAGAAAAAGATACTTTTTCGGTTACATACAAAGTTACAGATAAAAAGAGAAACTTATAACTTTCTGTATAAGAAAAATTAAAAAAAAATCCCGAAAAGGTTAATTTAACAGTAGTAAATAATTATTAACCTGTAGCGTAGTTAAAAAGTAACACTAGTGAGAAGTTACTATGCTTTTTTTGGTGAAGAGGTTCCGCAGATTAAAAAGATTACCCCCACCACCACTTCCCCCATCATTGCCCCCACTGTCATTCCCACGGGGATCAGCGCCGCCGTTCGTGGCGGCGCCACTCCCAACGACGGCACCGTTCTCGTCGCTTCTGCAGCTCAGGTGTTGTCTATACCCAATGCACATGGGAACGTTCAGATTCAAAACCCTAGCTTTCGCGGCGCCGCTTCCTCCTCCGGCGGGAGCTTTGCTCCGGCGAGTCTTGACGGTTTCTTTCTTCGACCCTTTGTCGGTTTTCTGAGCCTGAGCTGGTTCGGCGGTCTTGGCGGTCCCGGATCCACGGCGAACCTGCCACACCGGGCTGCTCCGGCCCACGTGGAGTCCGACCCGACCCGGACTACTTGGCCACTTTCTGGATTTGGACTCTCCAGCGGAGTTGCTCCGGGAACACGGAGCGCTGTTTACTTTCCGGGTCGCCGGGGCTCCGGGAAACAACTTGGGTCGGGTACCCGCATTTCCCGCGGATCTGCTTCGAGAGAATGGCCATATGTTGATGTTCAACTCCGCAGAACTCGCACCAGCTCCGGTTTTTCTCTCTTTCTTCTTCCCTTTCTCTTTCTCTTTCTCTTTCTCTTCTGTGTTTTTCTTTCTGAAGATGTCTTTCCACCGCTTCGAAGTGGAGGAGGAAGGGGATTCTGTTATGGCTGGTGAAGGTTCGGGTGGTGGACCGGGTTCCGGGTCCGGGTCTCGAGGAGGAGGTTCTGTGTTGGGGGTTTGGGTTGGTGGGTCGGGTCTGTTTGTGGTGGGGAGGAGGTGAAGGGGGAGGAGGACGCCGTCGACGAAGAGTTCATCGGCGGAGAGAAGATTTGGTTGTGGGAAAGAAGGGTTTCGTAGCATCCAGAACTCGAATTCGGGTGAATTGCAATGGGTTGTTGTGGTGGGTGAGAGGGAGAGGGTGTGTTTGTTGGTGTCCATGGAGATTGTGAAGAGAGGGTAAAAGGGTATGTTTTTATGGCCTTTTGTAGAGGTGGGTGAGAGGTGGGAGAAGCTTCTTTGTTAGCTGAGAGCGTGGAGAGAAAATGACCCTACCGAAGCATTAAAGAAAGAAAGAGGAATGAATAAAAGAAAGGAAAGGGATAGCATAGATTTTAAGGGAGGAGATTGGGGTCCATGTATATGGATGCAGCATGTGCCATACAAATTGCTATTTGGTAAAAGATAATTTGGGGAGTTTATTAGCATGTAAAGCGATAATTGGTGTCTATATATAATCACCTCATTATGCATCTTTATATCCGCCTCTCTGCACCAATCACCACCAAAAACAAAAGATAATGGTGGATATCTGTGGGGTGCACATGCTCTAATATCTTAATAGTTTTATCCGGTTGTCCTAAATTAATTAGGATAAAGTACTGTACTAGAAGTGCAAAAATATACTGTAAATGCAATATAATATATTTATAATAAAAGGATAAAACTTTAAATAAATAAATATTTTTTAGTTAATAGCAATACTACAAATATTATGTTATGTTGAACTTCTCTTGTGGAATGTGAGTAGTAAGAATAATTTACCAAAGCGTATTATATTTATGGCTTTTATGTATACAAAATGGTGAATAAATCATGGCATCCCCGCCCCTTCTCCCCAAAGTTTCTTGGTGGAATAATGAGCTGACCTTAAAAAAGACATTTAATGGCTACCTCTGTTGATGAACATTCCTATCTGCTTCGGCCGCCACTTCAAAAACATTAATTTGGTGTGAACCACGGAGGTCGACACATATCATTGCGTAAGATAGTAGTGTGTTTTCAGCACTAACTCGTTGATAACAACCAGTCAAGAATAAATAACAAATGATTAAAGGGTATTGAATTATGACAAAATTATTGCTTGACACACTCTGTTCATTACAATTTTTATCACAAGAAAGTATGATTATATAGGGTTGATAAAATCTATGGCTTTCGTCAAGTTATAATCAAATCTCACTTGATTGAGAAGGAGGGAGTTCAGAAGTAGTTTCTAAAAAATGAGTTGTAATAAAATTTATTGTTGTGTGTAAAAAAAAATTGTTGAAAGAGGTCAACTATACTTTAAACAATGTTATGTCTTATAAAAAACAGTTTTAAATTTTTGGTTGAAAGATATTGATTTACAAAAAGTTGTTATATCTTTACTTTGTAATTTCCGCAGATAAATATTTTTAAAAATTCAATTTAAATTTTGTAAAATTGAAGTGGCTCGTTTATTTATTTTACAAAATCTATTCTTTTATTCAATACACCGTTTGGATATGTATTTTTAAGTCGATTAAATTAGTACTCAATGATTTGAAATATGTTATCACTTTATCATGTTATACACAATTGTGGGGTATTTAAAAAATAAATAAATAAATTCAACTTTAGTTTTTAGAGAAGCATTTAAATTAAGAATTTATATAATTTATCGTCGATGGATACAACTTTTTGTGTTTAAAAGTCATATTGGACGATTAATTTAAATCTGGTCAAGCGGACTCACTTGAGGAAGTGAAATAGTCTCGTCACTTTTTCTTTTTTTTTTACTTCCAAGAGATTAATTTTAATATCTTAAAAGTTGTCAATAGATTTAAGAATAATTTAAATATAATTTTTTAAATAGTTAGTATAAAAATATAATATTTTTAAACGATATGATAATTTATAATTTAATGATAATATAAATAATGTTTATACATTTTAATTAAATTTATTTTTAATTGAAAATACTATAACGCAAACCCTTAAATAGGGGAAACTATTTAAATATATACTTACAAGGTGACAGAAAAAGGATAAATCATTCCTAAAGTTTGATTCCTACAAGAGATAATTCCTCAACTTTGGCATACGAAAAGTAAAAAGTTATAAATTAATTTGAAGGTGTATCATCAAATTATACTTTTCATTAATGGGGCCGATATTTAGAAAAGGGAAATTACTTTATGCAATTGCCTTAACAAAATTGTTTGTTCATCTAATTCTCATACTGAATCAAGTTTTGAAATGAGATCATGTGTCCCATACATTAAGAATCTGTGATGACTATTAATTTCAAAATATCCTTTATATATTATTGTGAGATATATAACGACAGGAATATGAATCTTTCACTCTGGTACAACGAATATGATTTTTTTTTTGTATCTGAAGGAATGTGAATCTTTTCTTGGTTGTATTTTGGTAAAAGCAAAGAGTGAACTATGAGTTCGTTTGGTGAATATAATAAAATAGAAAATTAAATAAAAATATAATAAATAAATAAATAAATAATAAACTCTTATTTTATGATAAGTTTGATGAAAATTAAGATAGTATAATAAATAATATTATGTTATATTGTTTAATGTTTGAGATAAATAAAAATTAAAAAATATAAATTATATTTGTATAAACATTATTTTTTATTAAATTTAATATATTTTTAAATTTTTATAATTAAAATTGTTGACAAAAATTAAAATCATATTTTTAAATAATATTTTTCATATAATATTAAAAATGACGTAAAATATAAGTAAAAAAAGAAGAAGATAATAACAAAATCATGTTTCTTAACTCATCATAAATCAACAGAATAAAATTCATATTATTAAAAAAAAACTGAAATAAAATAAACTATTTTATCTTGAGCTATTATCTTATCTTAAAAACCAAACAATTCCTACATATTTTGCAAGGAAAAAAGGACGGGGAAGGAAGGGCGAACGGCACAGCGCATTGCAAGCCTCATCGTATATAAACATGTCAGATCATGTCATGCATCCATATCATAGTACAATGGAAAATTGGAAATGAGACTCCTAAATTTTGTGAGTGTTGACTTTCCCCTCTATTATTTCACATGATGCTCTGCTCAAAAGCTTCATTTCCATTTTCAATCTTAATCACATGCTATCAAGCTTTTTAGGCTTCATGTACTTTTTAAGTCCCTCGTCGTTACCTTTTTTTTTTTTTTAAATATTAATCAATTTTTAAGCACTAACTACTTGCTAAATATATCCCCTTGTCCGTATAATCAAGTTTTTGTGAGCATGTAATTCAATATCGTTAGAGTGAGTCTTCGAATTCAAGTAATCTTTTTATTTGAACTGGCTCATAATCAAGTTTTAAATGAGTTTACTAAGATAATTATAATCTTTATATTTTTTCAACAAGTCAAAATAATCTTTAAAATTAATTTTTTTAAAAAAATGACTTTATTTTTGTTCATATAAATAAATTAATGTTAAGTGTAATTTTATTTCTCATTACTTAAACTTAATTTTTGAGCATTTGACTTAACTCGTTTTGTTTATAATTTGTACCCGAAGTTGAAATGTTAATGAGAGGGTTATTAGTTATTACCGTTATGACGTAATGGGTGTAAATGGTAAGAGAAGCCCAAGGGTAAATGGGCTTAAGGTGAAGCCCATTGTAACAACTAAGGTGGGCCCCGACCACAGAACTTGACGTACAAGTGGCTGCAGATCACTGGGGAATGTGTGGGACGTGGGATAGAAATCTATTGTGAAAAGCTCATTTCATGTGACAGGATATGATATGATGATTATGTACGAGATTTATATTAGAATTTAAGTGCAACTTCAATTTAAGAGCGAATAAATTTAAATTATTAAAAAATTAACAAGATAAATTTATAATTTTTTATTTATATAATTTATAATTTAATTAATCTACGAGCATAACACTTTTATTATTTAACATTTTATGTTTCCTAAAAGAAAAAAATTGTAAATTGATTTAGTATATTAATGATTTGAAAATTGAGACGAAAAAACACATTCCCGATTGCGAGAAGGCACGAAACCTTGAAAATTGAAGAGGCTGAAATGAAAGGGACGGAGTTGAGAGTGTTAATGGCGTTTGTTTGGAGGGAAAATGATAGAGGGCATGTGGGGGCAAAAGCAAACATTATTTGATGGTCCCACATCGAACCTACTCTTCCTTTTTCCTTTTTATTTGGCGATCGCCATTTTACATGTCTTTGTAGCTCAGAATTCAGACTATTTCATCAATTTTTCGCTTTTGCTGTTTGCTAACACTTGGCCACGTCTCCACGCTCCCCCGTTGTCCTCTCCAATCCATAGAGAAACAATTTATTCTTTCCCAGAAAAGAAAAAAAAAATGTTTATCATTAACCAGTATGAGGGGTCTCATTCGTTACAGAGAATTATTAGTTTTCTAGTAATTTGCTACAATTTTTCTTTCAATTTAACACTCTCCATACATTATAAAAACTGTTTCCAGGGTCGATTCATTTTAATAATAATAATATTTGATAGTGAGGTAAAAGTATACAGTTTTCAAAAATTGTATTAAAACAAAAAATTTACTGTTCCGATTTCAACGAATATGTTATAAATTATAAATGGTATATGAAATTCTTTGTCGTTGGAATGTGATTTATCAGCTTCTCCGTGGGTGCTCGGGTTGTGATTTTCAAACACCTGGCTATTTGTTTCATTTTCATCATCATCACGCATCTCAATATATTAAAAATAAAATATTATTAAATTAAATTTAGAGTAAAACAAGTTGAGTTTTGTCACAGGAATTACAGTTTGAATTCTCATAATTGGACTCGATAAATATTATTGTTTTTAGTCAATAAATCTCTATTTATATTGGTTTAAGCGCATTAAATTATAAACTAAGTTCTATTTTAACAAAAACTTTGTTGTGAAAAACAATAGTATTACTGGTTTTATTATTTAAAGGAAAAGATGCATATTTTCTAATACAAAATTCATACATGTTAATTAAAAATGATATAATTTTTTTGACAAGTTAAAAAAAGAAAGTGCTACCTTTCACACAGCTACTATACTGAAAACTAAAAATTTATTTATTTATCTGGTTTTCTTAAACAAGAAGCATAATATGTTTAGTTTTGGTCCCATGTTTGGGGAAGTCCAATTTTAAAAAAGGACGATAATCCACCAAACCTTGTACAGTTGTACTTGCAGCTAGCTTCTCTCCCAAGTTCCCAACACCATACGTATCTTAAATAAAAAATTTATTTGAAAAAATAAATATATATCATTTAAATTTATAACTAG